TTCAGTCTTACCTTAACATCTCAGCAGCTGGAAAAGAAATATGAATTATTACTCTAAGGTGTTGGAGGGTCCTTTTAAACTAAATATAGTTGTTTTGAATAGACATTACTAAATTTGGATTATTTTTTGTCTACCTACCTTTTCTAGAGGACCACATAAAAATATATCAACAGAGGTTTCACAGAGCATTTCAACTAAGGATTTCATTGTTTAGCCTTCAAGCTCATTTAAGTTACAGGAAACTACCAATAAGAATGCAAAGGACATCTCTACAGCCTTTGGTATGACAACTGGAGGTACTAATTTCTAGTAACTTATTTCCTGAGATATATATTTTTAATAGCCAATAATTTCTAGTATAACCAAGATTTTTCTCTTAGAGTCCTGTCTCAAACACAATTTGAAGCCCATAAGAGGAATCTGTTATTGTTGTCCAACTCTTCATTGAGAAGGCAAGAATTTGTCCATGAAACATCTCCAGAGCTGGAGTGACTGAGACCACAGAGAATAGCCATTATATAAATATAGCAGAATTATTGCCTTCACAAATTACTTGGAAACATGATCATGAGTCCTACTGAGCTAGAAGGGAAGCTGTCATATTTCTAAAAAGACATAGACTGTTTTGATAAAACAAGAAGAAAACTTTTCAGGTTGAGAAAGCTGATTTCCTGAGTAGAAGAGCATTGGACTGATCCTTACCTAGCTCTTAATGTGACACTAGGGTGGACAGAGGGTGCAGTCTCCAAGTTCCCTGGGAAACTACAGTAGGGGTCTAAACCAAAGTTCCCTTCTGGACTACACCAGTGGGTTTCTTTTCCTTGGAAATCAGGGTACTTAGGGAGAGCAGCCTGCTCTGCACCCAGATTCCACCAAGACACAAGGCTGACGTCTGGCTGGAGCACTCAAGTTCAGCAGCTTTGAAGAGCTCCAAGTTCTCTAGAGTGCTTTAGGGAACACAGTGCTCCTGACAACTAAAATGCAGGCACAGACAGAATGAAATACGAAATTCTATTTTGTTATGAAGTTGAGCAGCTTTAAACCCTGCTTGTAAAAACTACAAATTCTGGTTGCTCACTCTTGGTCTTTTGCCTCTGACAGCTGAAACTAGCAGGTGAGTCACACACAGAGCTATCCCAAATGGCTGATGAACTTGAAATAGAGCACCACAGTTAGCATATAGGGCTACACTCAGACCATGGATCCTAGTCATTCCCTAAGGAAAGACAGAAAGATGAATAACTGTTGCATTGCACTAAATAGTTTATTTAGTTGTTGTTTCACACTGGGTTTTGTATTTTGCACTGAATAGTATGTTTGTATTCCCCTCTGTCATCAGATGATCTTCACCCCCACTCCAAGCCCCATTGGTAGTGGTTTCTCCCTGGTCTACTCCTCTCCTTCCCCCTCTTTGCTTGTATTCCATTGGCTGTGGCCCTTTTCCTCTGCCCCCTACTTGCCCAGGTTTAAAATCTCCTGCCAAGACACATTGCCCCTCTTTCCCCCAGGGTTATCGCCTGGATCACCAGGTTGCTCCTATCAAGGAATAAAATAGGACTCTGGTCCTGAGAGGAAAGAACTCCTCCTGTCTTTTACTTTTGTCCTTGTGAGATTGAGAGGGGCCAGGGATCCAGAGCTCGCTGGATCAGACCCCAAAGGCCCCGGGATCAATCTTACAAAGAACCACTCTTTTGGGATGGTCAAAGACTGAAGGGGGAGTCAAAAGTGAGGCTGACATATAAATACTCCCACAGTCATGGCTGTTGATCATTACTGCTCTAATGAGTTGTCTGAAGCCTTTTCCGGGCTGGGACTTCAAGTATTCTATGGTCTCTCCTCTGGTCTCAAGATGAGATTGACTATGCCAGTCTCTCCCCTGAGAGACAGCAGCCTAAACTGTTCTCTTGAAAATTTATAGAGGCTCGGCAGTCTCCCCAGGCAATGTCCCCCACATTTCACTGTTACATAACTTAGTGCTCCTTCCCTGCAATTTAAGTCCATTAGTTCTTGAAGCTGGAGAACAGCTTGTCCCTTCCATTTTGCTGCTATTTCTATGCATTTGAAAAAGGTTATCGTGTCTCCCCTCAGTCTCCTACAAACTATGCAATCACAGTCTCCTAGCTCATCACACAGAAGCCAAGCTGCTGCTGGCTGGTGATAGCTTTCAGTAACTGCTGACTGGACTGGCTTTGTACCAGCAGTCTGTAAGTAAAAGTCTTCAGCATCTTTAGCTCTCTGAGCCAGGCTGTCCTTTCAAAGACGTGAAACTTTTTTCCATAATCCATTACAGCTCATCACTAAATACATATTACAGTACAATAAATTTCTGGAATTTTTTCTATCACATTACACACTAACAAGAGGAAAGGAGAAGACACCTTATTTCCATTTTAGGGCCAAACTTAAAACAGGATTCCCAACAGGTCTTGAAGAGTGGAGAGGGAAGATGCAATATATTATGTTAACACCTTCCTCATTCCACCCCCTCTACTGAGCAAATTAAATGAAATGCATTAACTATGTCTTAATCTTCAAATGAAACTTGGTATTTGTATTTTCTGTCATGTCTCAGAGTGTTGTTTTTCATTTTAGGCTTTGCATGGTAGTAAACACTGCAATGGTTTACATTCATTAAGCTCAGGCCCATTTACTCTGTTCAGGCAAAGCAAGTGCATATATCTCAGACCCATAAAGCATCAGTTCAGAACTACACAGGAAATAAATGAGACTAAGCCAGAAGTCCAATTTCCAGAGTCCAGCTCACTAAAGCTAAATAAGTACCATATATAAATATGGCCTATTCCAAATAAAATGTTAGTGTAATTTGATAACTGTCAATAATTTCCTCATTATGCCTAAATGAGCTTGTCATCCAAGGAGATTGCTGCATGGCTGATCTTAATTTGCTAATAAAAACCACAGAGAATAATTTCAGCTAAACTGAAACTGTGTGATTCATAAAAGTGCAACAGTGCACTTTTTAAAGCATTCCTTCCCAGTCCTGGCTCCTGACTGGCTGAAGCCCAAAGTCAGTTTGCTCTGCAGCCTGTAAGACAGCAGCTTTGCAATGTAAGAACAATGAGTGATTGTCTCTCTAAATCACTGTTATTCCTTAGCCCATTATAGTTAATTTATTTTTAATCATGTTGTATAATAGAAATAAAATCATTGGATTAAGCATATATCTAGCAGTGGGAGCCCATTATCCTCTGACAATGTTCTGTGTCATTGACATTATATCTTCACTGTAGACAGTTTCCTTGCCATCATTAGTCCTAGAATGACTATTGGATTTCAAGGGTTTCTCCCTAATCCATAATGAGATTTACTTCCTAACAGCACAAAACAAAACAAAGATATGCTTATATTGTTTTACTGCTATGGTATTCTTATTTTAAGCTATTCAGAAAAGTCAAGTATAAATCCAGATATTATAAGTATTTAAAGGTTTCCTGCATAATTCTGATTCAAGGGAAAGCCTCGGTAATTTTGTAAGTTTTGAATCTTTGTTGCTTATTGTGGCTTTATTTTACTCAAGTAAGCAACAATATTTACCCAGTTCTTGAACCAAGTAAGAGCTACTATTTCTTGCACAATGCTTTTTTCAGACTGGTTAAAGCAAATCTCAGTACAGTCCATTTTCTCCAGAAAGGGCTATAAGGGGTTCATCAAATTCCATGGGAAAAAAGAGGGAGAAAGTTTCCTGCTAAGGTTGCCAGCATTTCCTCTGTGGTAAGTGCTAGCTAACAGTCAGTCCTAATGTTGGGATGTTAAAAACTCCTCCACCATGCTAGTCCCCATGGGATAACTCAACAGCTCTTCATTTGTACCAACAGCAGTCACAGTTGAATCTAAAAGTAAATTTTTCCACACCCTATTAACAGCAGCATTAGAATGCAGCAAGGACTATCCACAGAAAAAGCTTTTTCTGTTATCTCACAGTTATCTTTGAGGAGGTGGCAGATATCCCTGTGAAAATTATCTTTATAGATTGCCTCTTACTTAAGGATATGCTGGTGCTATCAAGTGGGTGCCTTTCTAATGCTGAAATTGCTAGCAATATTTAAAAGTCTCTGCATTACTCTTTCAGCTAGGAGAGCAGCTTCAATAGTTTCCTATTTTCCATATATGTAGACAAGCTGTCACACTTTCACCCTTATTGACATGATCTGCATAAGCCATGTGGTTTCCATTAAGAGGGGTCCACACAATATAGTTAACTCTCCATTATCTTGGCTAATAGGAGAATAGAATAACCCAGATAAAAGAAAGACATGCATAATTATTACTTCCAGATAAGAGCTGGCTCAAATATTTCTGCTCTGTGCTCCCCAGACAGAGCTTGTACTTCTGTCAGAGCTTGCCAGCTTAGAGTTTATTAAGCCAGGCATTACCTGCATCCATCTGATACAAGCAAGGCAGCTTGGGTGTTCCTATGATTTAATCGCTCCACAAATATTCTAGTAACTGAAAATCAGCTCAGCTATAATTAAATATCAGCTTCCATATTAACCCTTTTATATGTTCTGATACTGGCACAGCGCAGACCCAGTCAAGCATGGCCAAGTCAAGGTTGAATGTGGAATAATGAGGAAAGGCAAACTATGCTTGAAACACAAGAGGAGTTAAGTTCAAGACACAAGACAGAAGACATACAAGGATGTAGAAGGACTTTGGATTCACATGTAACAATGAAATTAAAACAAGTGCTTCATCTCTTATTCCCAGATAGCAATCTCAGAGGAAATGCTCTCAGGACTGTCACAGGTAACACATGTAAACTACAACTACTTTTCTACATGAACTGTCAGAGGTTTCTTTTTTTCTTAGTGTGTTGCAATTGCTCAGCCACATTGGACATTTGTCAGTTGTGGGTTCTCATTATGTACAACCTACAAAGACCTTTTAGTACAAATACATATCCTTCCTGATCTCCGATGGCTACTGGTATATAAATTGTAGTGTTCAGTCACAAGAGACACCAAGTTCTGTAACAGATATATGGACAAAACAATGTCTTTATCACTAGAGAAAGAAATAATGCTTTCTTACAAAGAAAATTAAAATGTTGCAAACAATTTTTTTCTGGATTCTTATGGAAGGGAAGGCATAATGAAGAAATAAACTCAGGCCTAATGAAATCAGCAACACCATTTCTTAAACATTGAAGTGAATAATTTTATGGAAACCAAACTGTTGCCAGGAAAATTTTTAATGTTATACTTGTACATTACATTGTGCTGAAGAATTGATGATTATATTCTGTCACATTCTATGTTTAATTTACAAATTAGCATTGCCTTGGTTTGTCTGCACATTACAGTTAGAGCTACACCATGATGCAAGCCACAGGCCAAGCTGTAAAGGGAAAACTGTTGGCTCTGATAAACTAGCCATTTCATGTAACTGGCAACAGAAAGAGCAACTGACAGCAAATCACAGTGCCAAACATATCAAATCCCTAAATATCTGTTCATTTTACTTAAAGCATCACATACAGTGTTTAGATCACTGCGGAGGTCCTGGACAACATTTTCTATACTCCTGGTATCCTTCAGAATCTCAATGCTTTGTGTATATGGATTGAAATACACAGAGAAGGGACGGTTGATTGATTTGGCGAAGTCCCTGAAAGGAAAAAAAGAAAATTAACTTCCTTTTTTTTTTTTTTTTTTTCTTCCCTTCCCAGGCACTAAAGACGATAAAATTAGATTTTTAAGTCATGGAAAATGATTTACCTCATCTTTTCTTTGGCCTCTTCAAAACTCTCTGAAACAAAGTAAACTTCCTGGAAAGTAGTGATAAGGCATTCTTGCAAACAGGTTGTCTTTGGATCGAATGTTTTCACATTGGCCTTGTCAGAGAGAGCATGCTGCAAAATACACCACAGGATCTGTTAAGCTGGATTTTGATAATGCTCTGTATCTATATCAGCTGTTAATATATACAGCTTTTATATCACTGTCCTGTATGTTTCCCATAATTGGTAGCTCATCTTGTTTTTTGAGCTTGAGTAGTGAACAGAATTTGCTATTTAAAATGCTCTTACTATAGGAGATGGTTCCCCATAATAATAAAATAATAAAGAGGATGTTAGAAATGCACCTGCCATGAACACATACAGATGTAAATGTTCAGACGGAAAAAGGAAAATCATCAAATAACAATTCTTGAAAAATTATCTATACAATTACAAATATATATGTCCCCAAAATCTCATTTAACTAGCAGAATTTATCTTCATCTTGGTGAGTAAATTGGGTCTGACTAAACAATTAATGTAATCTGAACTTTACATTTTCAGGTTAAAATCATATAGTATTTCCCTGACAGCGAAAGTGAATCTACATATCTGAAAACCTATTAAATAATAGCAATGTATTGCAAGACAATGAAATGCATTACTCATCTGCCACACAACCTGAGCAATAATGCTTCACATAGTACTGTAAAGAAAAAATAACCAAACAGATGTAGGAAAGTAAAGATGAGACATTGGGTAGATAAGGCAAATGCTGCTATGTAGAGCAGAGATTTCTGATCAGCCTTTCTCTTTATATGACTTGCGCAAGTCACTAGAAGAGAGAGGTTCAGAACTGAAAATCAGGTACTGAGACATTTTCCAGGAATATGTTTTCTTGCTCCCCTTTCAACTTGAATATTTGTGTTGGTGTTTGGATCTACCTATCTTCTAGAGCACACATATTTTCATTCTCAGTCCTCTGTTACAGAAGTATAAGGTAAGGAAGCAGAGCATATTTAGGTCACCTTTCAACCTTCTTTATTCCCCTGATATCTATATAGAGTGAAGATATGAATGTGAATGAAAAGCATAAAGAAATGACAGGGAGGAAGCAGATCCCTGAGGTCTGAAGGTGCTTCTGATTTTTTAGTTTCTATCTGTGTGGACATTCTTTACAGTGGAGTAAAGTATTAACCTTAAGGTATTCACCACACATTTTATCCTTGCTCTTGCTTATGTTCATTCCTAAACCCCTGTGAAAGGCTCTGAAAATATAATACTAACTCTCAGCCTGAAGTCTCCAAATAGCAGGACAGAAAACTGGAACAAGAGCCTCTTCCTCCCACCTCCTCTCTCTCCAAAAAGAAATACGTGAAAAATTAATGCATGGAATCTTAAAATGTCAGGGAATTAACTTTCCTTAGTACATATATCTTTTCCTTCTCACAAAGTTTGCTTTTTTTAGCCGGCCATCAGTTAAACAGGTTTGAAAACAAATATAAAAAATGGTCTCTCGACCATCATCCTCTTCTAGAAGGACTGCAGGAACACGCTCATTTATTAGGCCTCTGCCTGTTGTCACTTTCTCTTTGCAGAACCATGGTGTGGTTGAATACTTATAAATTAAGGCATTTACCTCCTTCTATCAAAATGTATTTGCCTTTTTTCACTTGGAATTATAATAGATTCCCTGGGAGGGTATTTATAGATAAAAATCTCCTCTTAAGGCGCCTTTGTGCTTCCAGGTGAGACTTGGCGGCTGAAATGTCTAAAGTACACAGTTTCAAAACTCTGAATGGACTGAGTGATGTTGATTCCTTGCAGAGAATGAAGATGATGATACAGGCCATGATTCTGTAGGAACTGGCTACTTCCAGCTCATGGATTCTTTCCTGTACTGTGAAAGTTTCCACAGAAAGGAGGACACTGATAATTTCTCTATTTACTAATGGCCTCTGATGGGCCAGGCCTAGTCCTTGCTGAAGTTATCAGCATCGAGAAAGGATCCAGCCTGTGGTTCCTACATTGTGAACAACTGCTCTAGTCACTGAGCCCTAATTTTATAAAACAAGAGAGTTTAAAGAGAAGGAAAGGCTGATGCTATCACAGGGGATGTCCTCCAAGAAAGCCTTTCTAGTTATTCTCCTCAGATTATCCATATGAAATGATTGATTCTTTCTGGATCGCAGTTCAGATCTGGGACTATCTATGACTAGAACTGCTGTTTCACAAAGCAACTCTGCAGAGTGGAATGTGAGAACAGCAGCACATGTGCACCCTGTAAACTAAGGGTAAAGTATTCAGACATGCCTTCAAAATTAGGTGACAACAGGTGAGTCATTCTTAGGATTGCAGTTTGGAAACAAAAGGTATAAATTCTGCTGAATTCCCACCTGAGATACCTGTCTCTCCTCCAAGTTCTTTTTGACTCTTAGATCAAGTAGGAATTGTCATGGCTACCAAAGCAATGTTTCCATCTTTGCAAGTCTGGATGGTGTTTTCAACTTGCACAGCCTGGCACCTGTAACATCTGGTATTAAGCTGATATGCTGACACCATCAATGCCAGAGTTCAGCAATTGAAATGAGCCTCTAGACAAACCTTCAGAGAGACCATGAAGTATCTAGTATGAACTAGAATGATCAAGACACTGACTCAAAGCTGACCAGAGCATTTAACAGAAACTTTACAGTACTGTAAAATGCTGGTCCTTGGCAATCTCAACATTTTGAAGTACATAATCTCAACAACAAAAAAAAATTGTTGGGTGAGTCCAAAAGCTTTCACCTTCCGGCCTGTGTTTTTTGAATACATTTATGGTTTGGTTGGACATTCAGTTCTTTAGTGAATTCAAATGAGTAAGAATATGTATTTCTCCATGAGAAACCTCTATGTTATCCACCTCCAATCAGATGTTAGGATTATCACTCATGGAAAATAGCTTTTGGTAAAGTAGTGCATCTCACCATCTTGTGGATCTGTGATAACTGTCTCTAATGGCCCATTCATACAGACTTTACTGGTAATGCTAGTAATACTATTGGTGAGTCTTCTTTGGTTGAAGAAATAAGAATTTGGAGTGAAACTTCAAAATTAATCATCACTGATTGTCAGGAAAAGCAGCAGTATCAGACAGCTTAAGAAGCAGACAATCATTTGTACTGAAAATAAGCATAACAATTAAAAAATGCCTCCACTCCCTGCCAGATGAAAGGTTAAAAGAGTGATTGAGGTACCTAACAATAGGTGTCTAAGACCTAGGCTGTCTGATGCATTGTACAGAGGATGGAATATACAGCACAGGATCTAAAGAAGCCTTTTACACATTTCTGCAGTGGTGGCATGTCAGACAGCACCAGGCATTTACACTGCACAGCTCTGAATCATTTCCTAAGTGACCACTATCACTGACACATGAAAAAAGAGTTTGGTCCGGTAATTCCTCCTTTGAGTATAAAAATGGATTGCAATAATACAACTCAGAGCTTTTCAGCTTTGAGAAAGAAAATAAATGAAACAAAACCCAAAAAGTAAAATCTTCAGCTAGCAAGGGGAAAACTTGGGATGAGTTATAAATACTGCACAGTCTGAGAAGTACAGGAGAGAAGAATAGGAACACAGGTGAGAAGTGTGTGTGTGCCAGTACTGATTTTATCACCTTGTTTTCCCAGGGGGAGTACATAGAGTCTTGAAAAACCTACTCTTAAATGTTTTCCTGCTCATCTACAAAATATATTCTGAATATGACAGTGTCCTGTATTACCAAAAAATTTTCAGTAGTGTAATTTTATATATTGTCTAGAAAAATAGAGAAAATCTCTCTGTTTAAAGAGTCTCAAAATTAGCATCTGGGATCCAGTTGTTTTCTTCATCCTCTTCAGAAAACAGAGAAAAATTTGCATTTTATTATTTTTGGTTATACAGTCTAATGCTGGCACTTCTTAAATTATCATTAAAACAAAATAATACAAATGGATACTGTATTTGACTTCAAAAATTTATAGAGAGAGATTTTAAGTCTACCTCTCTGTTCAGTATAGAAGCATATAACAGGGACGTATGACTTGATCTACAGCCAACTGAAGTTGATAGGAGACTCCTTTAATGAAAGAGTTCAAGAGAGCATCACACAAATTAAATCGATTAAAGTTTCCAAAGACATTTGAACTGCTTTTTAGAAACAGTTTTAATAATTGAAATGTACATTATTTCTACCTTATCTCTAAGCCACAAATACATACTGTGTAATAGTGTTAGCTAGAGTTAACCTGACTAGATTAGGCAGAACATTTTATAACTACTTACTGTATTATTTGATTCCCCCCAGGCTTCATTTTTAATCTTCTCTTTCTCCTTATTTTCTTGTGCTTTATATTTTTTTTACTTGATGCTTTCATAGCATGCACATAAGGAGATGCATTTTTCATTATCTGAAATTTTAGGTCTAAATACTGAGTGGGGAAGAAGATTGCAAGGGATTCCTATAGTGATAGCCTGGTGCACAAATTTCTCTATCTTTTACAGTTATTTGTTAGTAGAGCTGTTGACCAGATTTGTGAAGTGGAGCAGTGTAATACAGAAACAGGGATGACTGAACAAGTCATTCAGTCCTCCAAACAGCCCAAGTACTGCTCACCATTTCTACCCTACAAATAGACTCATATACTTCTAGAAATTTATACAAATTATACATAAATTTTGCCACCATTTTATTTCATGTGCATACTGCTGCATTGAAGAGAGCTGATAGGGACAGAAGTTGGAGAAAGGCTTTTCTTCTTGCTCACAAAAGCATATTAATAAAAAATGCTTGTGCGGTCTCAAGGGCACCCTCAGTAAATTTGCAGAGAACACCAATTTGGGCTGAAGCATTGCTCTGATGGAGAACAGGAAGGCTCTGCAGAGCGATCTGGACAGGATGGATCAATGTACTGAGGCCTGTTGTTGAGGTTCAACAAGGCCAAGTGCCAGATTCTGCACTTGGGTGCCATCAACCCCAAGCAGCAAAGAGTGGCTGGAAAGTGGCACATCAGAAAAGGACCTGAGAATGCCAGGCAACAACAGCTGACCAGGAGGCAGCGTGTGCCCAAGTGGCCAAGAAGGCCAACAGCATCCTGGCTTGTATTGGCAATAGCGTGGCCAGCAGGACCAGGGCAGTGACTGTCCCTTGGCAGTGGTGAGGCCATACCTCAAATCCATGCCCAGTTTTGGGGCTCTCACTAGAAAAAAGACATTGACGTTCTGGAGAGTGTCCAGAGAAGGGCAGTGAAGTGGGGGAAGGTCTGGAGCACAATGATGAGGAGCAGCTGAGGGAACTGGGTTTGTTTAGCCTGGACAAAAGGGAACTCAGGGGAGACCTTTTCAATCTCTGTAGTTACCTACAAGGAGATTGTAGCCAGGCGGGGGTTGGTCTCTTTTCCCAAGTGAAAAGTGACAGGAGAAGTAAAAATGTCTTCAAGTTGTGCCAGGGGAAGTTTAGATTGGATATTAGGAAAAAATTATTCACTGAAATGGTTGCCAAACATTGGAGTAGGCTGCCCAGGAAAGTGGTTGAATTACCATCCCTGGAGGTGTTTAAATGTTGTGTGGATCTGGCACTTGAGGACATGACTTACTGGCATATTTGGCAGTGCTGGGTTGACAATTGGACTTGATCATCTTAGAGAACTTTTCCAGTCTAAACTATTCTATTACTCTAAAGTCAAGGTAGCAAAACTCAACATTTCAAGATCGGCCTTCCAAGTGGCAGGGATACATAAGTATTTGAACATCTATGGGCCACAGCCATCCCCGTCTAAAGCATGGCAGAAGTTATTTCTGGAAGGATGTCTTCACTGACACCTGTGAGAAGTACGAGTGCTGCACACATGATGGAGACATCATGGCCATGCAGTCTGAGGCTCCTACTCATCCCCACTCACCACTGAAATAGCCAGTATTGTTCTCACCATTTTCAGAGCAATTGCTGCCATCAATAAGGATTTCAGTTACAATCAGGATCTCAACAACAATCTATTAGCATGACCTTCCTTCACGTCAAGGAAGAAATTTGTCCTCCCAGTAGGTGCTAGGAGGGAGACTTTTTTCCCAAGAAACAGTAGAGACTGACAATGGCTTGTCACTCCCTACTGTGAGAGTGACATTCTCACAGTATGGTGCCCATATATGCTGGCACATATGGTGCTCAGCATATGTGGTGCCCACCACAATGGTGCCCAGACACTCTCCTTCCCAAGCACCTCCCTAAAAATATTTTGCTGAGAAGAAGCACATTCATGGCAGGATTGTGGTCTAGAAATAGCTTCTCCCATGGTCATTTTATCAGAAAACTTAGTAGTTTTTCACATTTTTTCCCTTAACTTTTACTTTCTTTTCTACCCTGGAGCACACTTTCACAGGCTTTTTGAATATTTTTCACTTTATCAGTCCCTTCATGGAGACTATATCTACTTGTGGTATGGTGCCGTTCTGTTCCCACAGCACACAAGTGCTTAGTTTATCAGTAATGGAAATTTCTTACTTAAGATCAATATTTGGAAGATCTGGTGAAATTTAGTATCTTATGATACACAAGAAGTCAAATCAGATGATCTAGTAGTCCCTTCTGGCATCATATCTACAAAATACATATGTAGATTAACAGAAAAGTATATAATATTGAATCACAACAAAATCATTATGGTATATATCTGACCATAACACTGTAGCAGATCAATATAATCTGTTAATGTCAGATTATTTAGCTTTTAACATTGCTTTTCAAAAGGATTATTTTTCATGTTTATACTCTGTGTTTACTGCTGAGCAAAGAACCCAGATCTGGGGTCACAAATGTGTGGTACCAAATATGCAGACTTGACAAGAATAATGCATTTGTTTATGACATTGATGGTAGAAGATTTATTATGTTCTTGACTATTCATTTCTTCTTTTTATGCCCTTAGATTTTGTAAATTATATGGTAGGTATCTTCAGGGTCATGACCTAGCAACCTTAACTATTAGTTTAAATAAAAGGCCTGATTCTTTACAGAATCCTTCAGAGTTTGGGGCTTAGCACTGAATGTTGCTGAGCCAAAGGAAAACAAGTGGGGCATCTTCATCTCTTTTCATTCAAACATCTTTGCACTGTGAGTATCAAATATTGCCAGACAGATACAGAATATTTCTGTGGCTGGAGTATGCAGAGAACTGAGAGCAACTCTAATGCAATCAATGAAAAAATACTAGAGAAGGTAATTTTCTTCAACATTTTTTACTACTGGAAGTATAGCAGTTTTACTAATGAGCTTCACCACAAATATTCACAGTTACAGGTAAAACACACAGCAAAAAGAGACAGAGATGCTTCTGTTAAACTGCCAAGTAGCTCACTGAAAGCCAGCCCAGAAGGGTGGAGAGATGTTTAAATACAAATAAAAAATGGATATAGAAATAGTTTTTAATACTTTTCCATATATGCTTTCTAATTCCAAATGTTTACCTGCAAAGCCACCAAGAGTTCATTTGGGTCTCTGAAGATGGTACTCTTCACTCAATTTACTCTTCCCTCCCATCTTGCTTATTAACTGAGAGATGTATTATGTCTGAAAATACCACAGCTGTGACAAAATACCTTTTGCCTGTTTCCCATGTTTTCTAGGCATTAAAAGAGGCAATAAATTATCCACTTCAACTACTCACCCATACAAGGTTAAACACTTTCACCCTTAAAAGAACAGGGCTCTATGTATTGTAACATAGGCAAGTTCAATGTGAGTTAATATGCATTCCTTAATTTTAAATATGTTTAATTTACTGAATTAGGACCTTAATGAATGCTGTTCTTTTCACATCAATAATTAATCCACTCAAATACACTGGATTACTTAGAATCATATCTGATTTCTAGCACTTTTTTTGTGGGTATTAAAAATATGTGCTCCTTACCCAAACAAAGCTTTTAGAGCCCAAGGCACTCTTACCTGTTAGAACCCTTGAGCCTCCTTTGACAAGAAATGAAAATTCAAACAGAAATCAGTTTTTTAGTTTATAGTTGCTTTGGTACTTTGGGCCTTACAAGTCCATTTCATGCTTCAAGTGCCAGCTGATATTTCAAACAAAGCTTTTAGGTCAATACCATATTTTAAATACAAGCTTTTTATCTTGAGAATTTTAACTGTTATTTGAAAGTCAATATATTTATATCAACTTTTTTTTTTGTTACACTTAAAATTTTACTATGCTTTAAGGGTACATACCTTTAACTCTCCAATAGAAGACAGAAGTCCTGCCCCATAAGCACGCAGTTGTCCTTCTTGCTTGCAAAGGCCAAATTCAATCGTAAAGAAATAGCACTGTAAAATATACAGATATTCAGTACAAATAGTGTAGTTGCAAACAGGCACTTCAGCAATAACAATCAGTACCACATTCACTCGCCTGTCTCACTTCTTTATAATTACCTACTTTGAATATAATCTCAGATTATGTATATTATTGCTGCTAAGTAATTTAAATGCCATGTTCAGCAGTAAGGAAGCTCTGCACAAAAATTTGGGATTTTGTTCTTTGTCTGGGTACACAAGCAGTTCACAGGAATGGACAGTTAGAAACAGACAAGCAAGATCATTTTTAGGTATCAAAGGTGCTGATGGTAACCTAGAGAGGTTTTTGAAACCTTCAGAAATAAATGAGATGCCTTAAAACAAAATCCTGCAAGGTAGTTGGTCTGACTGTCTAAGAATATCTGAAGATCTCTAAGATGTAGTTCAGAGCACTCCATATTAAGCTCAAGCTGATAGCACATTAAAGTCTGAAACACACTTGAGTTGTCTTGAGCTAGAATGAATTTACTCATATGTATGTGCTTAAGAGCCTTCTTGAGTTGAGGCCTTAGTCTTCACTAGATTTTATTCTATCATAAAGAAGAAATATGGCATTTGGCTTCTTAAATTGCAGAAAGAAAATTACATTCAGTCAAATGAATTCACATGACCAATGAATTCACTTGAACAATAACAATTGTTTTTTAGGTCCACATTCCATCAGGTAATGTGTCTGACCTGTAAAACTGATGACAAGCTGTGAAAAGAGGTCTGTTAAATCAACATAACAGTATTGTATCTAACTTTGCTGTACCTAGCTAATAAAGTTAAATGTTAGGAAAATCATAAGAAGCACTGACAGCCACTGCCCACTAAATGCTAATGATCACAGTCACTTCTGCTCCTATGGCGCTGAATTTTACTTTGGTTTTTTTTACAACACATCACATGATTTTTGATATTAGATCAAACAGTTAAGATTAAGATAGTAACTATTTCTACATATGAAGGTTTTAGGAAGTTGAGTTCTAAGTTATCCAAAAATATTGCACATATATATACACATATCCCTATATATGTTTATATAGGGATATGTGTATATATACACACATATATAGTTTGTGTTTATTACATCATCTGACAATTTCAGGATTTGTGCAAAGGGGCATAACTCCACTGAACCTAAAAGACTTACATGTCTTTGCAGAAGAAATTAGTTTAGGATAAGAAATTATCCAATATTTTGTACTAAATTTTATTTTTTAAAGTAACTTCACAATACATCCCAATACAATGTTGGTTTTTTTCCCAATCACTTCCTCCTTAACTCCCAACTCTTCCAGATTGGGTATCACATTAAATATAGAGGACCAGAAATTAACAGCTCTTTTAAGTTCAACCAATCTCTAGAAATTCAGAAATTATTAACTGCTTAGCCTTATAAAAGTTTCTGTACAGCTAGTGATTCATACATCATAGCATTATGTAGGCGGGTATAATAAAAAAAAAAGAATAAAAACATGAGCCCTATGTCTGATCCAAACCTGCTCAGTCAGCTGAGAAGAAGGAACCAGTGGCAGAGACTTCAAACGTCTCAAGTCTGATTCCATCCAGTAGTCAAATGCACAGATATCCAGAAAGGGAGGTGAAAGCACAATATCATAAAATAAAACAAAACAAAGAAACAAACCCAAAATATCAAATTTCCAACTCTGGCTTTGCTATTGACTCAGGCAAATTAAGCTAGCATAAAATTTTTCAGTACATCCAGTGAGCTGATGTGACCACTTAGGAGGCAGGCAAGACAACTGGTTTCCAAAACTATTGTCTCAGGGACAAACAGCCAATAAGACAAAATGACAAAGGCATCACAGAAGTAATGAGTGAAGCTGAGAGACCTATCACAAAGATTACAAACTTGGCTTCCCTGCCTAAATATTTTGCCAGAAGAGCTATCAATAGACCACAGTCCTGTTTGTATACATGCTGACACAGTTAGAAACTAAGTGCTCAGCTTTACACTTAAATCCTACTAACATCTTTGAATTTGTCCCCCTCTTCCTCAGAGCTCCTTAAAGGAATTTATCAGGTAGTAGTTCTTATGTTGCTAGCATTAACATTCTGATAGACATACAGCAGGATTAGACTTCTGATAAAACACAGTGATCATGATTATTTTCATTTTTCCAACAGCGGCTAAAAAGGAGTCTGGTGTTTGTATGTTTTAGCTCTGAAAGAGCAGCACTTAGCCCCCACATGCAGGGCAGCTCTACTATTGACCTTTCTTAGGATGAAGAAGATCAAACCAACATCATGCTGCTCCCAGGAGAAAGTCAAATGCCCACTTAGGAATCTATAGGGCCAGAGGGAAGGAGGAGAAATGTTCTGCACTCCTCTGAGGATGTGCACTCTGGGGGCTGGAAACCACAGAAAGGAGAGGAGCTAACATAAGCACCAGAGAGAGCAATCCCTGCTGTCCTGGGTGAGCAGTATCTACAAGACAGGTAGGACTTGATTCCACTTCCTCTTTGATGGATAAATAGTACTTAAAGACAGAGCTTCTTTTACATTGGTTCAAAAATTATTATTATTGTTACTGTAATAAAAGGGAGTCATATTTATGAGCTAACGCTTGCTGGTGAGAGCCAATGTTTACTATTTATAAGACTTGAACTCTCAGTATAACTAACTAAGATATAACACATAAATGGCAATATGTTTGCCTACTACTAACTTGTGATATCAAACTGCAGCATTAAGAAAAGCCTTTCAAATTAAAAGCTGATTTATAAATTTGCCACATGCAACAGCTACAGTCTTGTATTTAAGAGTGCCCTGCTTAGCCAAGAAAGTGCAAAGCTCACCCAATGCTGCCATCTTCAGATAGGTAGTCAGCAATACACGGTTCCCCCCACACGTCTACTCAGACGTGCAAAGGTGGCTCAGTGCACTGGAGTTTGCAGGCTTTGGTAAGTTGTGCTCTCAAGCCTACAGACATTGAGACATACTGATAAGGAGTTTAAATATTAACTATAAAGTGACACTTTTTATAGACCACACACATAGATACCCCAGTAAATGCATCTCTTTGTATGGTAAACTACAGTTGTGACATTCTATATTACACAGTGGATAAGCACACTGGAGTGGGAATGACTGAACAAAGAAGTGGCTGGTGAGACGAAAATATTTTTTGAAGCCTCACCTGAAGACAAAGTTGATTATTACACTGCTGCTACATGTAGGCTGGTGAATACGGGCACAAACAGGGTCATCCAGGCTCATTGAAATCTTGGACTTGTCTTTGACATACTCCCTAGACTGTGGCCCCAGATATTTGGTTCCTCTACAAACTACAGCAATATCTCTACTTTACTTTCAAGTCCACCTTTGGGGTGGTGTGTATTCGCTACAATTATAGATAGGCTCTTGAAGTAGGAAAGGTGGCTATCCATGTTGTATAAATTCTGAAGTTCTCAAAGACCCTTACAGTAAAATGCTGCTTTGTTAGTCAAATCAGCAAAATGAGATGAAGAATTAAAATGCCAAATGAGGGATTAGAAAGAATTTTTATACCAAGAGACATCAATCAAGACTACCAGGAGCACAAGATCGTCTTCAGTATCACTTAATTCTATTTCTCTTATTTATTCAAAAATATATGAAGGATATTTACAGTCATGCTCATGAAACATTATCTAATGGGTTCAAAATTATTCAACAGATGCATGGAAGAAAATCCAATTAAGGGCTATAAAATACTAATATAGCAGATTTCTTCCTTCAGAGCCCTTGAATCAAAAGTCTTTGGCGAGCAAAGCAGTATATCAGGAAAATACCACTGTATGGCTTTCAACACGCTGTCCTGCAGACTTCTGCAATTGCCTGGGTCAGAGACAAAATACTGGGGTAGCTTATCTGGCCAAGTGTATACGTGATTTTAGGAGTCAGATCAGTTGTCCTGCTATTGATAGGAAAGATATAGAGAACATCAAGCCTTGGCAAATTCCAAACCTAGTCTCCAGGGTAAATAGAGTGTCTCTTCTTTGTATTCAGATACTGCCCTGCATTATAAAATGGACTATCACAAGAAAAAGAAAAAATCAGTGACAGCTATGACAGCTAACAGAAAAAATCGTTATTCGAGGATGCTTAGATATTTTCAAAGGCAGGAAAAAAGGTCTGATAGGCTCAATTCTCCTCACCTGTCTGGTTTCTAAGCCTTTGAAAATCCCTTCTCACACCACATCATTTTGCATTTGAGAATCTCCCTCTTGGGATCTGTGCAAAGAACTTGTGCATAGTGTTGAGTCCTAGTGCCACAGAGTCAGTAGTAGAAAATCTGACTTGTTCATAAAAAGGCCTTTCAAGCCATTCCACTTTGTTTAATTTTCTTATGGTCTAGCTAGAGATTCATACTTGCCTCACTTGGCAATTTTCAGCATAAAGCATAGCATGAGATTTTATCTGTTTTTTGGAAGTACCTTAGGAAAATGTTGCCAGGGTGAGTCCTGAGAACACCAAGCATGTTAAGAGCTAATTCACTTGTGCTCCCTGCCACAAGGGAGGAAGAATGAGAGGTTATGTAATAACATGAGTGCAATTCTGATACATGGGCAGAAGACTCACCACTACATGGAACTGCCAATGTCATGGGCCACAGCCCCAAGCTGATGTGTAATAGCACAAACAATCACTTTATATGTATATAAAATTAGTTGCCTTGAAGACAATAGAACTATTAATACATGTAAGTAAGTACTTGAAAGACCAGCACCAAATAAATATACTTAAGAAAATATATTTACCTTGTTTCTACAAGATTTCAGATTTCAAAGGATATTTGAATGAACCACTCAATTCCAATGTGTGTGATATGTCCACCATATGCAAAGACTAAGTTCCTTTAGGAGTCCTTTGGTATTTTTGCTCTAAAAATATTCACTGAGAGATTAAATCTCTCATATAGTTGTAATTATCTCATAAATAAATAATTATATACCACTGAAAGACTTTTAAAAATCCCATTG